ACGGACTTGAAAACAGCCGACGAACACATATATTTCGAACTAAATACTCTTCTGCGCGAACATGGCCTGCTTGAGGTGCGCGCAAATACATACACCTCCAAAAGATCGGAAACGACTCCAACACGTGCCATGGTGAGCCAAAATGTCCAATATCGGATTGGTTCGACCAATGAGACCGTGGAGTATCGCATCCACACAAACAATATCTTCTTTATTGTTGGAAGTTACAAATGAAACAAGTGTTCATGTACCGTATAGGATCTTGATGCGATTCCAGCTCATTTTTGGATGAATGGGTTGGAGTCGAACTATGTAACAATGAATGAATCAATCATTCCGGACAATAGTATGGTGGTGTGTGAGGAGATCTCCTTCTTCTAGCAGCAGTACTCCCCCGCCCTACTACTAGTAGCTAGTAGGTGCACTTCTTCTACTACTATAGCAAATGGAGCATTGAGACGTCGAGACAGTGTGCGTATAGTATTGCTAGTCAAGCAATAACAATTTTGTAGAAACGATTATCGCATTTGTAGCAAGCAGTTGAGACAGCACAATATAGTACGATGACACGTTGATCAATCAACATGAATCAAATCAACTAAATCCAAAATCGACTGTTTCGACCCCAAGAGAGGTCTGATCTGGAAGAATCGCGATGTCACGCACTCTCAAAAAATAATTCTGTGACACGGATGGCAATGCCACGGGTTGAAACCACATATCGAAGGAATAGAGTGCTGCTGACACAGTAATCGAAGCAACGGATTGGCTCTCATGGACGATCCAGCAGCATCCAAGAAACAACCAGCTTCATCATCAGCAGATAGTAGCGCTATATATACTACTATTACTACTACGCCTACTGCCAACCTTTCCATTAATGTGCTCGGTCTAGCTTTGGTCTGTGTGACGCCCATGGCGTTGGGTTTCGTCTACGGATTTGACATTGGATCCACCTCGTTTGTATTGGCACTCTTGCTAAAGGAGGGTGGCGCTGATGGCGGTGGCGGCTCTGAAATTGTTTGGTGGTCCCATCTGACGAGCCTGCAACAGGGACTCTTTGTCTCCGCTCTGTCTCTTGGCGCATTGATTGGAAGTCACTTGATGATTTTG